AAGAAGCGCTTTGTGGAGCTAATACATTAATTATATCTACAGAGAGTCTTCCTTCTTCAGATCTCAAAGAGCTTTGCCAATGGCAGCTGAAGCGCCATCCCATTTGGGCAGACAGAAACACTGAGGCAGGGAGTTGGTAAGAGAAATGTCCAAGGTCACATGGTGCATTGGTTAAGGGGATCTTAAGTTAGAAGTCACAACACTTTAAATGTTACCCAGTTGATGTGGAAGTCTGGTTGTCTGACACTACGCTCTTGACTCCCAAGTCTGTGATCATTTCACAGAGGGTTTTCAACTCTCTAATGCATTGAAAAATGATTTGCTTCTATTCTGAAAATAAACATAAGACAGAGAACTTTTGAAGTGGGGTGTTTGTTTATTTGTCGGGAAAGGATGTGGCCAAGCCAAACAAACAGCCAGTCCTTCCAACTCTCCACCCTCATGATTCTACGATGAGGTCCAATCTCCAGAATGAGGAGCTCAGCACTGTAAGCCACATTGCAGTAGCATGCTGGAGATCTAGCAGAGACTCTCCATGAAAATGCACAATTCTCGTCCCTAAGACTGAACATCTGGGAAGGAGCTGTCCCTCTGGATACTAAACGACAAGGAAGCACCGTCTTGGAAATCAAAGCCTGGCGACCAGGCGCCTTCCAAAGGGACTCCCGTGGTCTCCTAGGTCCCTGGGGCAAATTACTTCGTCTCTGAGAGCTTCAATTCCATAGTCTGGGAAACGCTGTTAAATTCTGAAGTGAATAAGCTGGTGCCTGAGGGCTCTCTGAGCCCCTCGGAGGCCATCATTACATTAATATGTTGGGCTTAGTGCATTTCTGTCACTCATTACTGGGTAATTCTGAAAACTCTTGGACCCAAGCCTTACCTCATCCCTGTCCCTCAGCCTTGTATCCTCAATCTGGCCATCAGGATATAGTTAGCACTCCCTAGACTCTCTTTTATCCAAAATTTCCCCTGAATACATCAAAGTAACCCAGCAATGCTGTGACTTAAAACCCTACACATAGTGACCCTATATAGGGTTTCAGAAACTATTCATCTTTATGGGAGTGGGCAGTCTCATCTTTCTCCCTGGAAGCAGCTGATGGGTTTGAACTGCTGACCTTGTGGTTAGCAGTCCAGTGTGTATCCTACTGTGCCTCCAGAGCTCCTTGTGCTTTGACTAGGAGCCAGGGAATCAATGGTAAGCTAACAAAGAAGATGGTCACACTGCCAGATAAAGGAAACCTGGAGACCAGAGCTGCTGCCTAGACATATAAGGGCACTAGTTTCTCTGGGGACCTCATCCCCCTTTCCAGACTCCAGACACGATGCCACATCCCCAGCACAGCCTATCCCAGGAGTACAGGTTCGTGAAATCAGCATCTCAGAGGAGGGCAGGACCTCCACAAACCCCCGTGGCTTTGAGTTCATCCCATCTTTCTCCACGGACCCCTCTTGGTATGTGTATACATAATTGCATCTATAATTATATGTATACACACACAAACCTATTACTATTGTACTTACAACATTATGTCTATGTCTGGGGTGTTATTAATGCAGATGGTGAAATCAAAAGCAGTAGTTTCTGCTTGTGGTGTCTGAAGAAATGTATGTGAAGCAATTTGTATAATCTAAGTGAGCACATGGGCTGGAAATGGGTTCCATCAGGCATCCAAGCTTCTCTGCCTTGTGGCTCTGCCATAAATATGGATAAGGACGGCTCACCCTATATGAAATTCGTAGGTTCCACATTAGGGTGTGAGGAACCGGATAAGGACTAGGGGTGCTCTGACTATGTGGCTTGTGTGACCGGGCTGCATTTTGTCAGAAGGGTGCTTTAATATCCAGGAACTGGCATAACCAATTGCCTTTCTCTCAGGCAGCCTCAGTTACCTGTTGGATAGAAAGTGATGAAGACGAAGCTGGCTTGCTGACTGGGGGAGACTGGAAGAGAGTTTGTTAGTCTCTCCCACCTCCTGGCAGCAAGAAATTATTCCCCCATATGCCTAAGTCTTGCCTCAATCCAGTATGAGTCTAAATTGTAAAGAATATTTTGCAAAGAAATAGCACAGTCCACCCCCCCACTTTGAGCACTCATTAATCTTGTTTTCCTCCAATTTCCCCAACTCCCTTGTCTTCGGTACACTGCATCAGGGCTGACAGTGACTAGGGAATTAAAATGAACTTCCCACATTCTGTCCCCAACATTCCCCTCTACACACCCCTGCACAGGGAAGGCATTCTGAAAGCCTCTGTCTGCACTACTGAGCAAAGCAAGTTGCTGCCTCCAGGCCTGGTTTGCTTGCCTCCTAGGTCCTGCTGTCTGAATTTTGCTTTCAGGCCCACCACTTAGCACCAGCTAGCTTGGCACAATGCCCACCATCCAGCAGCTACAAAGAGAGCTCAGTGGTGGCACCAAGTGTGGATATAGTCTCTCTCTCCACTGCCTACTCTCCTCTCCTCACCCCACCTCTTCCTCATGGCATCAAATCAAACTGCGGCAGACTTGACAAATCTATTTGGCACGGTTCACTCAACTCTTTCAACCCAAACAGTGAGGAGCGCAGCACTGATGTGCCACGAACAGTGCAGAATCTGCACGTTAACTACAGACATGGGGGGGGGGGTCTGTTAATGAAGGGACAACAAAGATCATCCTGTGAGGGGGGACTAGGGTGGTCTCCCTGACTGCCTGCTGCCTGCCACACCCTTGGTGGGTGAGGGAGTGGTGGGGGCTGATGCCTAATTGGCTGACTTCCCATTTTCCTGTATCCTGTAGGTACCCAGAGGGTGAACATCTAATGGGGAGAAAGAAGGCTTTTCCTCTACCTTAGCTTCCTTTATATGGACAGGACAATTCTCTAAAAAAGAAAAAACAAACAAACAAACAAACAAACAAAAAAAACCCAAGTTGCGCCTTGGTGGTGGGGGAAAGAAATCTAGCAAAGAGTGGAAAGATAGGAAGAGAAAGAATGAAAATGAGAATGTGTCCAGCATGAAAACACTGAGAAGAATGAAGAATGATTCTAAAGGAGACCATAAAGGTCAGAGGGCAGAACGAATCCAGGGATAAAGCGAGGAGGACAGCATCCTATTGAAATGTGCAGTGCTAAGGTATTTCCAAAAGCAGATTTCCTACAAATGGTGTTTTAAATAGCATCCTGGTCCATCTGCGTGCTTTTAAAATGAGCTTATGCTACAGGAACCCTCTGTCCAGCGCTGCTTAGTCATTGAGCTTGGATGGGGAGTCAGTCAGGTGAACTGCCTTCTTCTCCCTCAGGGCCCATCCAAACCCGCTACCATTCCTCACCTGCTTGAGCAAAGCTTCAAGGTTCTATCAGTTTCTTATTGAAAAGGGTGGGAGAAGATAAGATAGGAGTGGTAAAGGGCTGGGGATGGAGGAAGACTCCGTCCACATGCTCCTGGCACCACTGCCAATTTGGGCTGGCCATTCCTCCTGAAAGGAAGCCAGTGAGAAACCAGACTTGCCGAGCATGGCAAGGTGTGTGTGTGTGGG